CAGACACTGTGTTTACAGTTTGTGAGGCGGGGGGCGCGCCGATCGTGGCAGGCAGCCTGGCCGCGCTCAAATCCCTTATAGCAGTTTGCTGAGGGAGAGAGAGCGGGGCGAGCGCCGTGGGGCTTAACATGTCTGTGAGTGAATGTGGGCGCGGGACAGCGGGCACATTTACTGCACTGAAAACACCGTCGGCCTGAGCTGACTGAATGTGTGTTGGTTTCGTTTTTACAGAACCCGTGGGACATGTGGTGTGTAGTGTTTGTGGGCACTGAGACCTGGGCACATTCACTACGTTTAGTGCACAATCGACATGAGGCGATTTTGTCTGTGCGAGCCCTGCATTTTTGCGGGCTGTGTTTGTGTGTAGAAATGAGCACTGGGTTGTGGGCATTTTTATTACACTCATAACACCATCGGCTGTGGCCGGAACACCAGAAAATACACTGCTTATGTGATTTATCTGGGTCGCCGTGGAAACAACATTTGTGTGCAGGCAAGCGGGCCGTGGTACTGGATTGCTTACAGCAAAATACACTGGAACAGTCGCATCTTCTGGAACTGAACGAGCGAAAAATTTCGGTGGAAGTCTGGCCGCGGCAAGACTGAAACACCGTCGATTTCCTAGGAGGCTAGGAAGACCTGTGTTGGTTTCGTTTTACAGAAACCGTGGTAGTGTTTGTGGGCACTGGGTTGTGGGCACATCCACTACATTTAATGCACAATTGACATGCGTCGATTTCATTTGTGCGAGCCCTGTACCGTGGCGGGCTGTGTTTGTGTGTTCAAATGAACACTGGGCTGTGGGCATTTTATTACACTCATAACACCATCGGCTGTGGCCGGAAAACCAGAAAATACAATGCTTATATGATTTTTCTGGGTCGCCGTGGAAACGGCATTTATGTGCAGGCAAGCGGGCCGTGGTACCGGCTTATTTACTGCAAAATACACTGGAACAGTCGCATTTTCTGGAACTGAACGAGCGAAAAGTTTCGGTGGAAGTCTGGCCTCGGCGAGACTAAATTTTTATCTGCTGCGAGAGCCGGGATCAAACACGAGTCTCTCGCACGAAGGCTTTGTGTTCCGCTACTGAGCCACAGGGGAGAACTACATTAGCGCAAGCAGATAAGAGAGTCTCATCACAGTTTTGTGTGTGTCGGCGTTTGTTTGCAGGTGTGCGTGTTATACAACAGGCTCATTGCTGCAATATTGACATTTTCAGCCGCTCAAACTAAGAGGAGCTGAGAAATGATTGAGAAATGGAGATTAGTCCGGCCTCGGCGCACACTCTTTCCTCATTTTGCCGGTGACGCAGGCCCATGGGGGGCGGGGTAGATTTCTTATAACATAAAGAAAGCTAGCCGCGGTTTTAGGGCTCGCGGTCTTGATGCTGGCCCGTTTCCCTGACGACTCACGGACAGAAGGGGGAGGTCCACAGAGCTCGCCCAGTCCTCACTGTCCGACGCCAGGATAGAGCAGCAGGTCTCCTCTACAGACGCAGCTATCTCGTCGTCATTAATGGCGGAAGCGGCGGCCGTTATCCGTCAATGAGCGACTCGAGTGAAGCTGGTGAAGCTGGCGGGCGAACCGGCGAGCTTTCACGGGCTGGAGAAGGCTCGGGGACCCACTGAGTACGGCGCTTTGCGGCGCGGCACTGTAGCGGGTGGAAGTGCAGTCTCGCTGAAGGATGCCAGGCGAGTCCTCAGAGTCACCGTAGGCAATAGCTCGCAGTGAGGGCGAGCACGAGAGCTGCATGATCCTCTCACAGGCAGGAAACGCATCACATGGCGGTCCCCGTCGCTGAGTGTGGCTCGGCACGAGCCACAGGAGGATGGCATCTTTAAAAAGACATGGTTCTTTTAGACGATAGACGTGTGAGTCGCGGGGCGAGCACACACACACACATACACACAGAGCAGAGTAAAGGATATATAGTACGCCGGAAAGCGCAGCAGGTACGGCGGCTGAAGGCGGCGAGGTGAAGGCCAGCGACTTCAGGCTCAAGGGCTCGTCCCGCTGAAGGCTTGCGTCGACGGCACGGCTTCTCACTCTGGATCCAGCGGTGCGTGAGCTTCGCTGAAGAGATGAAAATCAGTTTGTATCAGCTATCGACCTGCTTATATAGGGCGAGACCACGCCCTTTCTGGCGGGACGTGACGAAATGGGCGCGAAGTGACCCCATTGGTCAAGACGTCACGCAGAGCCGCTCTCGATAGGCTGCTGCTTTTGCCGCAGGGCAGCCAATAGGCGCACGAGCCGCCTCGCCTATGTCTGCATGCTGCCGCAAAGCGTTTTACATTGATTAAAAATTAAGGATAATTTTTGGCTTCAATTTCTCGAGGAAAAGAGGTTTTCCCCATAGCGTAAGATATTACGCAGTACGAGAGATACTCTCGTAAGAGAACTTCTGATTACTTATGTAGTACTGTAATACTTTAGACCCACAAGGAAGATGCAACGAGAATATCTGATAAAATGGGTCACCAAACATTTTCATCTTAATTTTAATTATATACTGTATGATCATTATAAACCTGTGCTTTTTGTGCTCAAATAATGTGATAATTTGCTAAAATATAAATGACTTTGAATAGACATGGGAAATGTTCCAGTTCTCTTACCTTAGATTTCCAAAGCCAGTGCAACACTATGGCCATAAGTGGGGTTTAAACCTAGACGGTATCTATAAATCTTTATAGATATGCCAATGGTACAGTGAACATGCTGACACGTTGTTTGAAAGAAAACAGGTGTGAAATTCCCTCATTTGTTGCTTCATAAGAACACACGTCAGACACAAACCTGATGATCTATCAGAGCTGATGGTTTACCTTTCTTATTAAATCTTATATTTATTACAGTAATCAAGAAATAATGGATGTTTTTTAACCCCTATTTTGTGTTTGGGTCATTCTGATCTGGAGAGGATTTTCTTTTTCATGAAAATGTTAGTTAATGTTATCGTATTGGACTAAAACTTACAGACTTCGTTTTTGATTCTTTTTGAATCAAGAATCCCCCCCTAACACACACACACACCCCACTTGTTAGACTTGTGGTGTTCCTGATCAAAAATGACTAGCCTACAAAAAATAGCCTATAAATCTCTCGTTGTGCTTTATTATCACAAAATCTTGAATTCAATCTTTTGACAACTTGTTTTCTTTCAATTAGTACAGGTTTTGTGTTTATTTTTTAAACTGACTGATTGTAGGCATCATTGATCTGAGCCTCAATTAAGCATTTGCACAGAATGCGTTCGGCTCTGGATGGAGCTTAATGCTTTCTTTGTGATGCATTCATTTTCCGATCCAAAATGAAGAACTTCCACTCTCTCATTTGTCATCTTCCCCAAACTGTCATATTGGGTAGTGAAGCATGGCTACTTGAAGGTCAGAGTGGGGGTTTGCAGAATGGTTTGTATCCCGTTTAGCGTCCCATTCTCTCCGGCTCATTTAGTCTGGATATTCTTGCAAGCTGAAGAATTCTTCCTCCCTTTGGTATGCTGCTCCCTTAGGCTTGTGTTCAGGTCTGGTTGGGTTATATTTGGAGTTGCCTTGAAGCTATTGCCATGTTTGGCTGCTAGATGTAGTGCTATGAACTTAGCTGAGGCTATGTCTACTGTATCTCCCCTGCAGGTAGCTCTGCTCTAAGGGGCTCTGGGCAGTCCTGTAGCGGTGGCTCGGACCAGAGTCCCCGTTTCAGAAACGGGTGAGCATGGTAGCTTCTAGGCTTTTTTCCTATCGCCTGAGGTGGACAGTAACAAAGGACATTTACTTGAGTACTGTACTTAAGTACACTTTTTGAGTATCTGCACTTTACTTGAGTATTTTTTTTTTTTACTTTTTCCTTTAACTTCACTACATTTGAAAGACAAATGTCGTACTTTTTTCTCCACTACAGTTCTGTCAAGGTCCTTGAGTAGAAAGTAGTGACGTCAGTCAGGGGATGAATTTGGTTGCAGGGGTTGCATTTTGGTTGAAAATGAAAGTTGGGTTGACGTCAGAACCTGACTGATGTTGGTTTCTGACGTCAACCCGATTTTCATTTTCAACCACAATACAACGTCTGTCCAACGTTGGAGATTACAGTAATGTCAATCTGGCGTTGGATTCTGACATCAACCTTTTCAATTTACATCCCTCATGATAAACTGATAAATGAATAAATACTGTACTGTACAAATACTTTTTAAACATCATAAGACAAAATACCATGACTGTGATAGATTTCTGACTGTAGCCAACAAACATTTTTAGTCAAATCTGTAGTTCTCAACTCAAATCTAATTTGGGGGAAAAAATATAAAAGAAGAAATTCTCAAAATTGTCACCCCCAGTGATATTTATGAGGCCAGAATCCATATCTCTGGTCACAACCACTTTTAATGTTTTTTAAAGTGGTTGTAAAAGTGGGTGGGAATAATTTATTCAATAAATTATTTATTGTTTATTGATGTAAAATTGTATACTGTTGTATAAAAACAAAACACACTCTCAATTATGCTTTTGATATGAATATGACAAGCTAGTTAATAAGTGCAACAGCATTGAAGTTTATTTATTTTGACAATGGGTGATTCCGCAGACAGTAACAAGGGATGGAAAGGTGTTTACAGACATAAGCATGACATTTTCAGCCAAATTTGACCCATCAGCTTCAAAAATCCATGTAATACTTTAAATTTAGGAATATGGTAGGCCTACTGAACTTTTGGAAACTGTAAAATGTTCCCACGTCAATTAAATAAAATATAACTATTAAAATTGTTGTTTTCTTTACATTGTCATTTTTAAAATAGCAAACTATAGAAGACATCAGAAAATGAAATATTAACACTGTTTGATAATTATTAAATCAGTGTGAATTGTCCCTTTTGTCACACAGTCAGTCAGGCCATGCAGAGTCTTAAAAAATCAACTGGCTTTGATGTTCTCTTTGATTGAAAATTTATTGGTGATTCAAGTAATCAACACAATCCATGAAACTTGAGTGAAGTATTGTTGTTGTAGTTTGGGCTGCAGATCTGGGTGCTGAAGGCAAGTTCTGTTGCTCCTATGAATGAGAAAAATCTATTTAATTACAAATTTCATTTAATTAAGCTTTACATTTAAATATGTTAATAAAAAACGGAACATTTTAATGTGAATTAACGACATTTTGGTCATGTTTTAAAACGTCCAAACTTCCACCAAATGTAATGTGTAATTTTTTTGTTCTTTTGCAAGCATGAGTTCCAAAATGAGAAGGAGAGTAAATAATTGTTTGTGTCGTTACACTCACAGCACTGGTAGAGCCTGTTGATTCTGATGATGTCATTCTGGCTCATCTCAGTAGATGTGCCCAGTGCAACATTATTGTTGGGAATGGGAATCATGGTGGGAAGGCCATTCTTGGAGAAAGCATATCTGATAGAGCAAGTGGCATAGATGCCGTTAGATTATAATCTGGAACACTGAAAGAAACGTCATCTCCTCTTGAGCTCACTCACCTCTCGTACTGCATCACAGAGCTGTAGTCGTAGGGAGTTCCTTGGTTCAGGGTGTTGATTTTGTCGAAGTTGTACTTCATGTCTGATGAGCAAACACAACTTTTACACATGGACCTCTATTGTATTAAATAAACTAACCTAACAACACTATATACATGTATTCTTCTTTCAACAAAAACAATACCATCACTGATGTTCTCCCAGACGACTTGGATGTGATTGTCACGGTCACTGCGGGTCTGTTCATGGTTGAAGCCAAGAGCGTGGAGCAGCTCATGTTGCACAGTGCTGTGGTAAAGACAGCCATTACGGGCCAGAGACACAGTCTGGGCATAACCCTGACGACCAACGTACGAGTAGCATCTGTGAGACAGAGATCCATAAATTGTAAGACTTTTGAGCATCTTAGATATTATCTTCATCTCTTCATCATCTTCATTTACTTTTCATCACAAATTACATGTTGATGGTAATTCATTCAGAGTTTTGTGTAGTCTTCGCCTTGTCTCTGCCTTATCTTGAAACTATTTCTGTGTTGGTTTTTCTGATTGTGGTTTTAGTTGTGTTATGTACCCACTGCGAGACTCAATGCTAATATAGTCTCTCTCATTGCTGCGGGGGAAGAAGCGGATACAAGTGCTGTAGGAGAAAGAGTCCAGACCACGCTGGATGATCTCCAGCTCACGGGAAGCTGAAAGGGCAAAGAGGTCAGAGTTTGCTACTGTGGAGAGTTACATCCTTTCATTAAATCTCAGCAGCATGCAAAGGGTACTTTTATGAATTTGGCCTACAAAAACATAAATCATAATATTAGTGACTTACAGTAGTGGTTGGCGATGACGTAAGGTACATAAATCTTGCCGTCGCTGTATTTGGACCAGAGGCAGCCGTAGGAGGTGCAGGGATCAGCATTTTTCTCATTCACAGCAATGTCATCCATTAGCTTGGGCTCATCAGGTTCAGGAACTAACACATAAACAGTTAATTTGGGACTTTTTAATGAAGGACAATTGCAACATATTAATGTCTATTGGTGAGTAAGTGGTGAGTGCGTATATACCAATGCCTCTGTTGGCTCTGTGCAGCAGTTCAGACACAGACAGCTCAGCAGACTTGTCCTCGACTATTATAAAAACACATAAACACATTCACCATTACTTCAGTTATTCATCATGTAGAAACGGTGTCTTTGCTGAATTATTTAATGTTTCAGCTCAAAGTTTTTTTACAATCTCATATTTACAATATTTGACTTACCAGGCTGAATGTGAGTTAAGCCAGAACACCACACACAACACGGACATGGAAAATAAATATTAAACATTAAGGGAAGTCAAAGCATATTACATTCTTCAATATTACATGAATTAGTATATGAAGAAATTGCATGCATCATTTTCAGAGTACTATATACATATGTGCATGTATAATTATGTCTTTTACCTTCCCCTCGGCGGAGAAGACCAGCAGGGCCAAGAGGCCAAAAGTAACCCTAGTCACAAACATGGCAGCCAAAGACCTATAATGAGAGAGATAAAAGACCTGCAGAAAGAACCAGGGCACAGCAGTTTGGTGAGACAGAATTTACATATACACCATTGGTCATGTGAAACCTGAAATCTCAAATAAAAGACAAAGCCATGATATAATTTTTAAATTAAATAAAAAGTTCCGGTGGACACCATAACCTTATCAAATGGTACAAAACCTATTTAAGTTTTCAATAAATATATATTGCCTTCCTCATTTCCTATTCTGCTCAAAAAATCCATCAACTTCATAAATGGGAATATGTTTGAACAGACACCTCAAACATACCACAATTCTCACCTCAGTCCCTCAAGCTTCATAGAGCAACACGTTTTATACCCTGGTTCGAGTCCATATCAAAATGATCTTGACAAATACGGGCAAAAGAGTTCAGGTTTGTTTAACCTTGTTTGAAAAAGAACAGGTGTGAAATTCCCTTCATAGGAGCATGTGTCATAAACAACTCTTATGCATGCATCACAACGTATGGGTTCTCTTCTTAAAACACTTTATTTTCATAAATATTTTTTATATTGTATTTTAAAAGCTAATCACCTTAAATAAATATTTTTATATATCACCTTATATAATGCCTAATATAACCTTGATCTCGAGCATTTAAAGCGGCAGATGACAGAACAGCAGCGTGCACTTATAATAAACAATATTATTGTGCATTGGAGTCTTTAATACCTTTTCTGGGCTGGCAAGTTTCAATCCCTTAGAAGCCTATGGAGGAGTGATCCAGCTCTCAGATTTAATCAAAAATATCTTAATTTGTGTTCCGAAGATGAACGAAAGTCTTACAGGGTTGGAACAACATGAGGGAGAGTAATTACTGACAGAATTTTCATTTTTCGGTGAACTAACCCTTTAACCAATACAGGTAACTACTTTTTATACATTTTGGCTGTTGCCAACTAACATAATATAGTTAAATCTATAGTTATCAGCTCAAATCTGAGTCATATTTTATGCAAATTTAATAATATAAAAGCATTTTAAATTTCTTGAAATTGTGACCGCAGCAATTTATGAGTCCTAAATTCATATCTCCAGTCACATGTTCAGACGTGGGAAATGCTCAAAACAGTACATGCTGGTATGAATAGAAACATTATCTTTGAAATGTTCAAAGAAAACATGATAAACATGCAAGTATTTTTTTTTTTCATTACTCAGTGAGTTCAGTCTTGTGTAACCTTCAATCTTCACTGAAGAACAGGTGTGGATTTCCCTGTCACAGTATGGTGCCATCTCATGCTGACAAACCAGAAACAGTCAGAGTCTTTACTTCATTTAGTATCCAGTCATCCTTGTGTTAAGTTTCCTATTAATTGTCTTTCTTGAATGTAATCATCCATTAGTTTAGAGTTCAGTTATCAAGAGAATCCTATTGTGTACCTTGCTACATTTAAACCCCTGTGTATCTATGTTACTACAGAGCCAAATTATTGATATTTTCGTATTTCGTATTTGAATTCACGGGCAATGAATTCACTTTACTGTTCCTCTTCATTGCTCATTTCTAAAATGTCCTTTAATTACTTGAGTATAATGTTATGTTACATGTTATGTTGAATTATTATAAAATGTTTGAATGCAGCAGAAAGTATATACACATTTTATTTGTATATAATCATTTTAATAATAATTAGTAGTTACCTGCAGTTGGTTAAGGCCTGTTCACACCAAGAACGATAATAATAATGATTTGCATAGTAAAGCGATCATCACCTACAATCATTTTGGGCAGGAATTAATATAAACACAAATATCGGATGGTCATGTCTAAAGTAAATGTAAACAGGCGGGCCAAAAAATCAGATATGGTCAAAAGATCGGATTTGTGCATAAAGATTTATTTTTCTTCGTGAGCTTTATCCCAATACAACATGTGACATAACTAAAACAGTTGCCAAAATCATGGGTTTGATTCCCAGGGAATGTGTGAGCTGATCCAATGTATCCCTTGTAAGTCGCTTTGGATGAATGGTGTCTGCATGCATAAATGTAATGTTGATCATGTTGGAGAGTGTTGCATGTTAATTGGTTTTGTGGGTAATTGAAAAACATGACAATGTATAAATACTGTAATACATATTTATATCGCACATTTTATAATACTGAATGTTTCAAAGCAGCTTTATATGATAAGACTCATCATAGTCAAATGTGACGTTGCCTTTTATCCTGATGTCGATAGCCTGTGTTCCACTCAACTGTGTTCCTTCTCCCCATTTGCATCTGTTACTTGTTACATTCAAAGCATATGTTTTAAAAACATACATTCAAAAACATGTGTTTTAAAGAGGCATGCAGAGGTTTTACTTTACAAATCACAAACTCAAAATTTACTCATATTTGACGACTAGAGTGAGGTGGTCACATCTGTTTCCAAAGGGATATGTCATTTTTAGTCACTCTTGTTAAAACTATTTGTGCTTGTAGCCAATTCACTATCATTTCATTTCTCAACATTGTTCTGTCATTTATACACCTATATCTGTCATCCTCAAAATCCTTTTCCTCTCATTGCATATGTGCTCTGCAATGCTTCCAACCAGTCAAATGTATACAATGTTGAGAGGAAGGGCCATCAATGAGTTATTTTATGTGACGTGACCAGCTGCAGAAGGTTTGGAAATGACTAAACATGACATCTTGTGGTTAATTGTAACTGTAATGTAAGATTGAGAACATTGCCGTTATCATACTGTATTATCAGTAATTTAACTAATACCGGTCAAAAGTTTGGAATAATCACATTTTATTGTTTTTGACAGTCTCTTAAGTCTCTTATGCTCACCAAGGCAGCACATTATTTATTGATAAAAAAAATACAGTAAAAAACGGAATGTGAAATATTATTACTATTTAAAATAATGATCTTTCTCTTTTAAAGTGTTTTAAAATGTAATTTATTTATGTGATGGCAAAGCTAAATTTTCAGCAGCCATTACTCCAGTCTTCTGTCACATGATCCTTCAGAAATCATTCTTTTGATATTAATATCAAGACAACAACACTTGCATTCACCAGCTTTACTACTGAAAACGGAGCACCTCATTCCAGTACACGAGATCCAGAGGGCGGAGTTGGATCCAGATCTAAGGGGTGGAGATGGGTAGGATTAGGGGTGGGGTTAGGGATCAGGGGGTGGAGATGGGTAGGTTTAGGTATATGTAAGGTGGGAGGAGTTGGATCTGGATTCAATTCCTCCCTCTGATTTTTTTTTGTTCTGCAGTGAGGACCATCTCGAAAAAAGACCCAGAAGCCATCAATCATAGGGGTGTTGATTTTGATTTTTTATTTACTTGTTTTAAAGAACATTTTAAGTTCACATTATTTGCTCCTTTTGTTGATTTGTCACAAGCATCTGATACTGGAACATTATTATCTTTTATTATCATTCATTATTCTCATTATCTTATCTTAAGTACTGAGAGATTTCTGATTTTAGGATGTTAATGAAATAAGTTAAATCATTTGACACTATGATGTGCAAAAAGGAAAGCTTAAAAAAGAATGCTAGGAAACAAAAAATGGATGAACTTTTCCTTCAGACACGTTCTTCATACAGCCCGGCAGCAGTTTCTCAACCTGAGAAAAAAAAAGCAATGAATATGGAATGAAAGACACGATTTTGTTGTGATTAAGAGTTAAAAATAAATCCCACTATAAAGACCACCAGCCTGCTAGGCATGCTTAGCATAGTGGTCTAAGGTGGAGTTTTCAGCACGGAATATCAAATTATGTTTTTTATTCAAATGACAGGAAAGCTGAACGTACTGCAGTAGAGTCTGTTAATGCGTAGGATGTCATTGGGGCTCATTTGTTTAGCTTCACCAATCACAACTTTCGCATTCGGAACGGGAATCATGGTTGGCTCATTATTCCTAGAGAAAGCGTACCTAAAACCACACACATAAAGAAACAACAGTGAAAACGGTTTACTACGTTTTTAGCATGTCCAAATAATAATAATAATAATAATTCCCCAAAATTTCACTGAACTACAAGAACGCTTACCTTGAATAGTGCATCACAGAGTTGTAGTCATAGGGGGTAGCCAGATTGTTGGTGTCTACTTTACGGAAATTGTGCTGCTGTTCTGTTACACAGGCACAGGAAAGTATTAACGACTGAAAATGTAAACCTGGTAAAAACACAGTGAAGTTTAATCGAGTCTAGACTATGTAATAATTGTGACTAAATGTAATATGCAATGTTTTGTAATATTGCATTTAGTTTTCTTATTTTTTTGTTCCATTTTATCTTTTTTTTTATCTTTATCTCTAAGTCTTAATCACTTCTTAATATTAATTTACTTACTTTCCATTCTATATACAGTACTATTATATATACAATATATTATTTATATATTATATATTTTAAATACATATTATGTGTGGAATTCTCATTTTTAAAACTCATGCTCTGTAAAGGTTTGCCAGCAGAATGCCGCATAATTTCAAACATTTCTCCAAAGAATTTTTAAACAAAAATACCAGGAATGATGTTCTGATAAAGGATTTGGATGTGTTTGTCACGGTCACTGCGGTTCTGTTCATGATGGAACCCGAGAGCATGAAGGAGTTCGTGCTGCACAATTTGGTGATAGACACACCCAAAACGCTGGAGAGAAACAACCTGCCCTCCCCTTTGGCGCCCCAAATATGAATAGCATCTGTGGACCACATAACACATCAGGTTGTATATTTATCTGAAGGGAAAGCACATTTACTATAAAAACTGAAATTGAATAGAAAGGAGCCCTGAATCCAGAGATTTACCCAGAATTAGACTGTATGTGAAGAAAGTTCCTCTGTCCTTGATGAGGTACGAATCGAATGCAGGAAACCTCTGCAAAGGACTGCATACCTCTTTTAATCACACTTATGTCCTGTGGAGCTGTGGAAGAAATAGACTGTTGAACATAACATGTGGTACCGATGAGATGATATCTAATTTAGTTAACATTGCCACTTACAGTACTGGTTGGAGATGACGTAGGGCACATAGACTAATCCATCTCTGCTTCTGTCCCATTTGCACCCACGAGCGGTACATGGATCTGCATTCTGGAGCCCGCTTGGTACGGCGATGTCTCCAAACATGATCAAAGGCTTATCCAGTCCCAGTCCTGCGTGGTATAGAATAATGCACAATAATTCAGTATGTTGATTCTGGTGATATAATGTTTTAAAGGATGAGGTGAGCCAAGGAATCTGCCACGAACCGCTACACAAAAGATGTGCCTATATAGCCTTCAAACTCATACCTGCATGTTTGTTGGTTTCAATTATAGTTGACACTGGTATATCATCTTTCTCTGTGATGTTACCTGAGATGTGAATCAGTAAATTATTAATAAAACACTACAAAATTACAAGTTAGTTTTTTTTCTTTCTGGGCATCTTACCAGTCTTCCCAGGGATCTTTTCAATTAAATCCTGTTTTAGAATTTCAAACAAATGTGTATTAGAAACCAGTGGTTAGAAATGAAAAGCCGCTCCCATTGGGACGACGCTGATGTTATCATTTTACATTTCAGATATTGATGACATATTGTTGTCGGTTCTCACCTGAATAGTACGACTCTGAGCAGGAGCAGAGCTCAGGAGTAGAGAGATGACCACCACCAAGTACATGATGAGAGCTTTCTGAGAAAATGGTCTGAGTCAAACAGGGCTGACAGTTATATACTCCTCTGAGAGCCTTAACTTCCTTTTCTGTGCAATAACCCAGCCTTCATGAATCAAGTGCTAAAATACCATGGTTTAAAAGCAGAAATGTGCTTATACAAACGCTTAAATGAGTCATTGAGTTTAGAATTAATGATTTTTATTTGTGCTGTAATGTTGTAAATAAATTGTAGGGTTGATGTCTGCCAATCCACAAGAGGAGGTACCCTTTCCTATTATGGCTCCTAAAATTTTTAATATCTTTCATGACATTTTGCATTTCATCAAAGAATTTGGTCCATGTTGATATGAAAGCATCACGAAGTTCCTGCAGATTTGTCAGCTGCAGATCTATGATGCAAATCTACCATTCCACCACATCCCAAATGGGCTCTATTGGATTGAGATTTGGTGACTTTGGAGGCCATTTGAGTATAACGAACTCATTATGTTCAAGATATCAATTTGAGATGATTTGAGTTTTGTGACGTGGCACATTATCCTGCTGGAAGTAATCATCAGAAGATGGGTCATGGTGGTCATAAAGGGATGGACAGCAACACTACTCTTCATCAATACTCATGCTGTCTTGTTGCTGGCTCTGATGTTAAACAATGCTCAATTGGTGCTATGGGCTCAAAGTGTGGCAATAAAATATCCCTCACACCATTTCATCACCACCATCAACTTGAACCATTGATACAAGGCAGGATGGATCCATGCTTTCATGTTGTTTAAGCCAAATTCTGACCCTAGCATATGAATGTCGCAGCAGAAATAGAGACTCGTCAGACCAGGCAATGTTTTTCCAATTGCAACCTCAGTTTCCTGTTCTTAGCTGACAGAAGTGCCCCCCAGTGTGGTCTTCTGCTGCTGTAGTCCATCTGTTTCAAGCTTGAGCGTGTTGTGCATTCAGATATGTTCTTCTGCAGACATTGGTTGTAACGAGTGGTTATTTGAGTTATTGTTGCCTTTCTATCAGCTTGAACCAGTCTGACCATTCTCCTCAGGCATCAACAAGGCATTTTCACCCAGAGAACTGCCGTTCTTTATATATTTTCTCTTTTTTGGACCATTCTCTGTAAACCCTAGAGGTGGTTGTGCATGAAAATCTCAGTAGATCAGCAGTTTCTAAAATACTCTGACCTGCCCGCCTGGCACCAACAATCAGGCCACATTCAAAGTCACTAAAATCACCTTTCTTTCCCATTCTGATGCACAGTTTGAACTTCAGATGATCATCTTAAAGTGTACAGAGTGTATTAATGAACATTATTATATAATTTATTATTAATATAATACATAATTTTGCACATTTTATTTAAAAAATGTATCAACTTAAAATAAAATAAATATACACATTCCTTGTCTGTTAGAAATTATACACAGTGGTGTTTGTAATTGAGTGAAATAATATTTGATTATTTATTTATATATTTTTAAATAAAGATCCACTCTTGGGAAAACACTCAGCTCCATTTACAAACTAATTATTTCTATAGGTAAATGTCTGTAGACTGTTATTGAGACAGAAAAACAATCAACTATTTTTCTTCATATCTTTACGTTGTAAGCTGTTGGAAAACATTTTCAAACTGCAATCCCTCCCCACAGAAGACCACAAACCTGGTTTACAAAGAGGAAGCTTTTTTTTCTCTGGTCTACTGTTAACCAGATGTTGAGTCAAGTGATTGACCTTTTCTTCGTAAAGAGGATGTGGAAATATTTCAAAAGATGCCTTGCACAAACTATATGGTTCTATATTAATCTGAAACATTTGCTCCATCACATTTCACCATTTAACAGACCCTCATTTCAAAAGAAGAGGACCTTGCACAACCTTTCAATGTAGGAGACACTATATATGGCTTACAAACAGAAGGCTCGTCACCAGCTCACACACAAACCATAAGATAGACAAATATTTATTTATTTTATTCAGCTGTCAATCTCATCTACATGCCAAACTACCTAAAAGTTGCAACCCTCAAATGATTTAAAAACTGAATTAAAAACAGCACCAACTCTATGGTTTGTAAAATGACGCTAATCACAAACTCCTAAACTGAATCTGTAAAATATTTTGTCCTCCATGAGGAGTGAAATGTCATTTTTCAAAGTTTTCCAAATAATAACCCAGATAAAGTTTTGTCCTATTCTGAAAAATTAAACATGTATGCATACAAAATATAAATGCATTTCCTAATCAATGTAATTCAAAGAAGACAGCATTTTCACCCTATGCTGACAAAGCTTTCAGAATTGCTTTTAAATGAATTAATAAGAGAAGGAATGTCTTAAGACATACTGCAGTATAGTGTGTTAATACGCAGAATATCATTTGAACTCATTTTCTCAGCTTGGCCAATAGACACGTTATTGTCAGGAATAGGGATGATGGTTGGCTCTCTGTTCTTGGAGAAGGCAAACCTGAAACCACACAAACACTTCAGTATCAAACACAATCCAGACGCACACTTGTTTAGTAGTTACAACCCTAGCAGACGTTTTGGAGAAGATTATATATATATATTAGGGATGCACCGAATCCAGATTTGTGGGGTTCGGCCGAATCCACTGGTTAAGATTCTGCCGAATCCGAAACCGAATACCGAATCCTACTCTCATCCTCAGTCCATTAACAAAGTAAACACATTAATGAAGTAAACAACGTGGATTTTTAATTGTAAAAAAAGAAAGAAAAAAAAAGAATAAGCAACATTATGCATTTTAACAGCAGCGATGATTTGTATTGTTTAGAGTCCTTGCCACCATGAGACAAATTGGCATTGCAATTTGAACATGTAGCTCGACTTGTCTTGAATTGCCTTCTTTTGACTGAAAGTACTGCTAAACAACACTTTTTCTGCTCAAAAGTTCCATTTTCACTTTTTTCACAGCCTACTGCATTCGAACGGTCCACCTACTGTAACGAGTGGAAATAAGATGTGTCCCCTTTAAGCCTTTAAGAGCTGCGCGCTCCCTATTGAACTGTCTGCAGTCTGTATTGTATGTGCCGTGCGCCTCGAACACCCCAAGTATGCGAGTTATTTCTGTTTGATGCTCATTTTTATCTTATTTTGTTAAGTAACGCTGTGGACGGTAGAACGTGTGGCAGACAGTTACACGAGTTTGATTGCCAAAGTGCGAGTTGTGAGATGCCAGTCGCCTCCGTGAGTCCTCTTGACACAACGCGTACTACTACAGGCTTGTTTGACTTGAACTGGCGCTGTACAGACCGATCGGTTTATGACATCAAAGTACCGCGAGAGCATTTCAAAAGCATAAGGAGCCGTCTGCTCTCTATTCGCTCTGATGTCATACTGATGATACTCTGATGTCATTCACCAATCGGTCTGTGCAGCGCCGGTTCAAGTTGAACAAGCCTAAGGTAAACACCTTCCCGTAATCAACGGCAGGGTGACATCGACGTAGCGCGCGTAGTGCAAGCCTAGGGTTCGGTAGAAAAAAATTCTAAGGTTCGGCAGAAACCGAACCCTGTTAAAAAGCCCAATATTCGGCCGAATCCGAAACCGAATCCTGGATTCGGTGCATCCCTAATATATATATATACACTCACCTAAAGGATTATTAGGAACACCAATCTAATACTGTGTTTGCAACGCATTCTCATGCCAAGGCGTCACTAAAATGACAATTTTGACCATGCTTCAATATTCGACGCTTTAGGCACCCTTTAGCGTCAGTTACATGACGCGATCCTAGGGCGTCATCTCACTGACGCTTTACCTTTAGCTTCAGTTAGATGACGCGGGTAGGTTTAGGTCTGGGGTAGGGTTAGGATTAGATAGCGTCATCTAACTGACGTTAAAGGTAAAGCGTCAGTGAGATGACGCCCTAGGATCACGTCATGTAACTGACGCTAAAGGGTGCCTAAAGCGTCGAATATTGAAGCATGGTCAAAATGATTCCCAAGGCGTCAGTTTCATGACGCCTAGGGATGAGAATGGGCTGCCCCTTTCGCCTTCAGAACTGCCTTAATTCTACGTGGCATTGATTCAACAAGGTGCTGAAAGCATTCTTTAGAAATGTTGGCCCATATTGATAGGATAGCAACTTGCAGTTGATGGAGATTTGTGAGATGCACATCAAGGGCACGAAGCTCCCATTCCACCACATCCCAAAGATGCTCTATTGGGTTGAGATCTGGTGACTGTGGGGGCCATTTTAGTACAGTGAACTCATTGTCATGTTCAAGAAACCAATTTGAAATGATTCGAGCTTTGTGACATGATGCATTATCCTGCTGGAAGTATCCATCAGAGGATGGGTACATGGTGGCCATAAAGGGATGGACATGGTCAGAAACAATGCTCAGGTAGGCCGTGGCATTTAAACGATGCCCAATTGGCACTAAGGGAACTAAAGTGTGCCAAGAAAACATCCCCCACACCATTACACCACCACCACCAGCCTGCACAGTGGTAACAAGGCATGATGGATCCATGTTCTCATTCTGTTTACGCCAAAGTCTGACTCTACCATTTTAATGTCTCAACAGAAATCGAGACTCATCAGACCAGGCAACATTTTTCCAGTCTTCAACTGTCCAATTTTGGTGAGCTCTTGCAAATTGTAGCCTCTTTTTCCTATTTGTAGTGGAGACGAGTGGTACCCGGTGGGGTCTTCTGCTGTTGTAGCCCATCCGCCTCAAGGTTGTGCGTGTTGTGGCTTCACAAATGCTTTGCTGCATACCTCGGTTGTAACGAGTGGTTATTTCAGACAAAGTTGCTCTTCTATCAGCTTGAATCAGTCGGCCCATTCTCCTCTGACCTCTAGCATCAACAAGGCATTTTCGTCCACAGGACTGCCGCATACTGGATGTTTTTCCCTTTTCACACCATTCTTTGTAAACCCTAGAAATGGTTGTGCGTGAAAATCCCAGTAACTGAGCAGATTGTGAAATACTCAGACCGGCCCGTCTGGCACCAACAACCATGCCACGCTCAAAATTGCTTAAATCACCTTTCTTTCCCATTCTGACATTCAGTTTGGAGTTCAGGAGATTGTCTTGACCAGGACCACACCCCTAAATGCATTGACGCAACTGCCATGTGATTGGTTGATTAGATAATTGCATTAATGAGAAATTGAGCAGGTGTTCCTAATAATCCTTTAGGTGAGTGTATATATGTATATATATATATATATATATATATAGTGGGGAGAACTAGTATTTGATACACTGGCGATTTTGCAGGTTTTCCCACTTAAAATGCATGTAGAAGTCTGTAATTTTTATCATAGGTACTCTTCAACTGAGTGACGGAATCTAAAACAAAAATCCAGAAAATCACATTGTATGATTTTTAAGTAATTCATTTGCATTTTATTGCATACATCAGAAAAGCAGACCTTAATATTTGGTACAGAAACCTTTGTTTGCAATTACAGAGATCATACGTTTCCTGTAGTTCTTGACCAGGTTTGCACACACTGCAGAAGGGATTTTGGCCCACTCCTCCATTACAGACCTTCTCCAGATCCTTCAGGTTTCGGGGCTGTCGCTGGGCAATATGGACTTTCAGCTCCCTCCAAAGATTTTCTATTGGGTTCAGGTCTGTAGACTGGCTAGGCCACTCCAGGACCTTGAGATGCTTCTTACGGAGCCACTCCTTAGTTGCCCTGGCTGTGTGTTTCGGGTCGTTGTCATGCTGGAAGACCCAGCCACGACCCATCTTCAATGCTCTTACTGAGGGAAGGAGGTTGTTGGCCAAGATCTCGCGATACATGGCCCCATCCATCCTCCCCTCAATACGGTGCAGTCGTCCTGTCCACTTTGCAGAAAAGCATCCCCAAAGAATGATGTTTCCACCTCCATGCTTCACGGTTGGGATGGTGTTCTTGGGGTTGTACTCATCCTTCTTCCTCCAAACACGGCGAGTGGAGTTTAGACCAAAAAGCTCTATTTTTGTCTCATCAGACCACATGACCTTCTCCCATTCCTCCTCTGGATCATCCAGATGGTCATTGGCAAACTTCAGATGGGCCTGGACATGCGCTGGCTTGAGCAGGGGGACCTTGCGTGCGCTGCAAGATTTTAATCCTTGACGGCGTAGTGTGTTACTAATGGTTTTCTTTGAGACTGTGGTCCCAGCTCTCTTCAGGTCATTGACCAGGTCCTGCCGTGTAGTTCTGGGCTGATCCCTCACCTTCCTCATGATCATTGATGCCCCACGAGGTGAGATCTTGCATGGAGCCCCAGACCAAGGGAGATTGACCGTCATCTTGAACTTCTTCCATTTTCTAATGATTGCGCCAACTGTTGTTGCCTTCTCACCAAGCTGCTTGCCTATTGTCCTGTAGCCCATCCCAGCCTTGTGCAGGTCTACAATTTTATCCCTGGTGTCCTTACACAGCTCTCTGGTCTTGGCAATTGTGGAGAGGTTGGAGTCTGTTTGATTGAGTGTGTGGACAGGTGTCTTTTTTACAGGTAACGGGTTCAAACAGGTGCAGTTAATACAGGTAATGGGTCTCATTCATGAAACACGAGCAGAATTCATTTTTGTGTAAATCGTGTGTAAAGTGGTTCTGGCGTAAATTTTCGGATTCATTTAAATGTTCGTATTTTCCAAATGTTAGTTGGTACGAAAGAAATCTACACCTGCTCCCAGCCACGCGTAAATAGTGAGTTTAACATCTGAACGTTTTGCTCATTAATAACTAAGGCTGCATTTTAATTCACCTTAATTGGGTACATATTTACACAGCATTTTGAAAAAAAGATTATATATAGTAATTACATACGGTTTTTCTTTTTACTTCTGTGACTGTTTGATTAACAGATGAAACTCCATTAACTGCATCTGTAATATGCTGCCAAGCTTCCTTTTTCTAGGACCTGATACGCCACTATGTAGCCTACACTTGAAAATAAAATGTGGTGTTTTGAATGAACTTCTGATAATAAAACTTCGATTTCTGCATTTGAAATTTTTTTCCTTTTCATTCGCTTTTGAGAAGACATGTTGAAATCCTTTGTTTGGTGTCATAATATGATGCCCATATATAGTTGTCAGTCGGATTTAATGGGTGGGATTTATGTTAATTGAGAATGAGCGTGCACGCGCGTCCCATTTACGACTGATTGGAATTCATTAACACACACACACATTTCACTATCACATCTGACGTTTACGAGGTATTTGTGAATCAGGAGATGAGTTTTCGGGAAGGTCTCTTTACGTGCAAATCACTCTCATATTTATTTACTCGTATATTTACGAATGTTTCATGAATGAGACCCAATGAGTGGAGAACGGGAGGGCTTCTTAAAGAGAAACTAACAGGTCTGTGACTGTGAGAGCCGGAATTCTTACTGGTTGGTAGGTGATCAAATACTTATGTCATGTAATAAAATGCAAATGAATTACTTAAATATCATACAATGTGATTTTCTGGATTTTTGTTTTAGATTCCGTCACTCACAGTTGAAGAGTACCTATGATAAAAATGACAGACTTCTACATGCTTTGTAAGTGGGAAAACCTGCAAAATCGGCAGTGTATCAAATACTAGTTCTCCCCACTGTATATAAAAATATAGTTTTTGTGTGACTAAACTACAGCAAAACTTGCCTTCCATAGGGCATCACAGAGCTGTAGTCATAGGCAGTCTCTGGGTTCTTAGTCTTGATTTTGTCAAAGTTGTCCTCCTGCCCTATTACAGTGAATAGCAATCAAAGGAGAACAATATTCAGTCATATTAAAAATCAATAAATTCTCTAATCTCCTATTTCTGCTTAAAAACTCAAACTTTAGAGACTTTTCGCTGCATTTAACAGCAAAATCTTCTCTACCCTAATTGAGAAAATTTGCAACTACAATAGAACAAAACCTGCTGAAGAAATGTGTACCAATCAGATATACCAGGAATAATGTTTTTAAAAAAGGATTTGGACGTGATTGTCGTGGTCACTGCGGTTGTGTTCGTGGTGAAAGCCCAGCGTGTGAAGCAGCTCATGCTGCACTATATTCAGGGAGATGCATCCACCACGGTCCAGAGACACAGTCTGACCTCCAATGCGACAGCCCACAAAAGAGAAGCACCTATAGATCAGATCAAGCATAATGGAAGGATTCAAACAACACATGTAGAATTCAGTACACACACACTACAATTACAGTTCTCCTGGACGAACCTGCATTTACAGTATGTGGCTTCCTCATGCCAGTATCAACCAGCAGGAAACAAGCCTAGAGCGTCACCCACTTCCCCATGCAGGCATAACATTTACAGTACTGACATAAAATCATACTATGTAAAGCCTTTATTCGACTAAATGTAGTTGAGTTTAACTAATTTAATACAAAACGAAATGTAAATTTAAACAGATTCAATCTGAAGTGTACTAAGCATGTGGCCATTGTTCCTGTTGATAGACAGTTGTAGGCTAGCATAATAATTTGATTTCATGGAACATTTGCATTTTACTAAACAATATTGGGTTGAGTCTGCAGTAAATAAATCTGTAAATCTTAAAAATCACAATTTATACAGTAAATTTTTAAGCACAAATATAGAGCAACAGCAATTGTTTTATAAATAAAAAACTTATTTTTACCCTGAATTAGACTCTATGTTGATATAGTCCCTCTGATTTGTGCGAGGCATGAAGCGAATGCAGGTCGATTCCTCAAAAGATCTCAAGCCTTGAAAAATTACATCCTTCTCCTGGGAGGCTGTTGGAGAATTCAGATATGAAAAATGGCCTGAACAGTTATGTTGTAGTACAAGGTTGAGTGAGCTAAGAGCTGTCACTCACAGTATTCATCAGAGATGACATAGGACACAAGGACTTTTCCACTTTTGCTTCTCTGCCATTTGCACCCACGAGCTGTGCATGGATCTGCTATTTCTAAGCCTGTTGCTACAGCGATGTCTCCAAACATGACCGAGGGCTGATTCAGTCCCTCTCCTGTATGGTATAAAGCACAGAAATTCACTCACTCTGCTTGTACAGAGAAGGAACAGCCCTGGAGTGCTGACAAAATTACAAAAGTACTAAGATACAAAATAAGATGTTACGTTCCTCATCAAGGATAGTTAATAATATTATTTCCTTTCATCTCTTTATTAATGATCAATGTCCTCTCTTTATTGAGCGGCTGACATAAAAACACATTCAACAAATAGCATGTCCGCTTACCTGCATGTTTGTTGGCCCTTTCGATTATAGCTGACACAGATTTAACATCTTGTTCAGTGCTGTTATCTGAGAACCATTGTTAGTTTATTAAAGCGTTAATAAAACAGTAAAATATAAAGATTTTAATTATACTGCTCATGGCCAAAGTCATATTATTGAAAATAATTTCTTACCAATCTCCTCAGAGCTCTTTCCAAAGATATCCTGTAAAAAAAAAAAATTGAAAGCGTTCACAGTGGGAGGCTGCTACTGATATTGCTTTCCATTTCACCTATTACCTATGTCTGTTCTTACCTCAATAGCACGACTCTGAGCTTGAAAAGAGCCCAGCAGAAGACAGATGACCACCATCAACAGGAACATCATGAAAGCTGTTCTGGATCCTTTACAGATACATGTGGGGCAAGGAAATTTGTTATTTATAATGGAAAAGTAAATGGGTATATCAGACTTAGATTTTGGTGTTTGCTTTCATTCTTTCTTTTTTTTGGTAAGTGGAGATTTGCCCCGGAAAAAAAGCTGGATTCTCCTTTTCACATAGGCCTATATGTGGCCTATATGTGCATTATGATTGTTTAAATTATCTGTCAGTTAGATCTTGATAAATCACATTTGCATTCTGAAATGTAAACTGAAACATCCTCTGATCACCCATATTATAAATATTTCTGTATATATCACACCTGTTGAATAAGAGATCAACAGAAAAGACACTCACCTCACATTGGTGTAAATGTTCAGAATGACTCCAGCTCCCTGCTTAGTCTCTTAAATGCTCTCCATTCAAATTTAATTCCACCTCCTGTCAAATTAGAATGTACAGACAATCTCAGACGATTTATGAAACCACTTAATTATCCAGAGATGTACAGATAAACAGTTCTGTCTGATGAAAGAGTAGCTTGAGCACCAGGCTTATAACACATAAGCATTAACCCATTCAGTCCAATACTGCATCAAAATTATAAACACATTTTAACTTTATAATGAGAAATCAGCTAAGATTTCACTGGTCTTTTATCCTTTTAACAAAACAAGGCATTGTGATACAGTTGTTCAGAGTGCATCAAACAAAGAATAACAACAACAACTAAAATATAGAATGAACATGTATGTAAAAATTTAAAAATAAAACTAATAATAAATACAAATAAATAAAAAATACTGGGATAAAAAAAATGCAATATAATATTAGGGCAGTTACATGAATTTGAAAAGCTTTTAAAAATTATTGTTTTTATAAGCTTTTTGTTATGTGATCTCATGTTTGAAAAAGTTTAGAAGTATAGTGTGAGATTGGTGTTATAAAAGGTAATATATATATATATATATATATATATATATATATAGTTAGTTTTGTCGTATAAAACTTTGCGAAAATAATTAAAAGATTAATAATATAAAAACAATTTTCAGAAAAATATGGGTTTTGAAAACGAAGTAAAATGTCACGAGGTTCCAAACTAAGAGTTCTGTTTAATTTTTTTGTCATGTCTATTTTAAAGTGAGTCAAAAAAAAAATTTAAGAAGGGGAAACACAAAAATAAATGTTCCAGATCTTCAAATGATGTTACAAAAAGTAAATTTATCACAAACAGTATGAATATATATCTACCAATGGCTGCATTTACAGGATAACATCTATGAATAATTGTATACATTATTTTTTACTTTATTAGAAACAACATATTGATAGTAATGTCCAAATGCTGTGCAATCACAAATGCTGTGATTTACATGGAGGATTGGATCCGACATTAAAGGAATTTCTTATAAAATTGTTATTAAAACCTTTACTAAAAAAGGAGAGACCATTTACAAAAAGTTAAGGATTGTAAGGTTGTATTATTAATATATACATCTGAGAATCTAGTTAAGATTATTATGCCATTGGGGATGGCCTTTAATACTTTGTTAAATTCTTTTTCATTTACTTCGCTGGTGTCTTTGTTTTCATAAATTATGTAAAGAATGTTTTAAGCCTAAATACAAAAGTATTATAAAACAGAAACGTGAAATTTAAATATTTAAAATTAAAATATAGACCTACAGCATGTATGTCATGAAAATTGCAAAGTTTAAAGCTACTCTGAGCTGAGTGGCGTAGTAAGTCAGTCACGGGCCAATATGCAAAATAAATTGAACGGGCCCCTCTAACCCCGCTCTCCAAGTAGGCCTACTTCGAAGAGACATTTATAGACGTTCACTGTAGCACATCAAAAATACCACACAAACACACACACTACCCAAGAACATTTCATAACCAGAACGGAACAAAAAAAAAAATCTAAAATAACCTAGGCTCAGCCAATGTCAATAATAGATTAGGCCAAGGCGACTGCATATGCAAACACAACTGATCTTGACACAGCAGCCAAAAATGTAAAAGCACAAAACTTTAGTTGCATTCTCTAAGCCTTTTCGGCAAATTCATCCACGATGTCCTTCCTTCATTGGTGTTTAATTCATGGCTTCGTGCATTCTCAATGAAAAAGATTGTCTGTTCTGCGACATGGTACGCCTCAATTTTGTAGTTTTTTTTTATTAGCTTCAGTTTTGAAAATGAGCTCTCTGCTGAAGCAACAGTAGCCTAACCTCTCACACCGTCTATTTTTAATTTCGCGCGGCGATACAGCGCTATTAAAAAAAAAATGACAAATAGCTACACACAAGAAATTACTGCACATGACACATGCATACAAAAAAAATATTTATTGAGGCCGGCCCACGAATTAAAAATGAATTCCCTCGATGCTCGATCTATTGGGCGGTGGGCCCCCAATCGGTCCGGGCCCATTTGCACGTGCCCTACATGCCCAGGCGCTGCCACTGCACTGGCTGTCTGGGCCATATTTTAGTGCAGCATTGATAAAACATTGCCTGTTTACGCAAACTTTGAAGCAGGCACAGAACTACATAAGGCAGTCCAGCTCTGGGGCAGCCTTTACCTCGACTATGTAAATGAAAAGAACTCTCATTGCGTTGTTCGATCTGTTCATAAAATACTTCCATTTTACTTCAATGAGCATTGCGCAACGCAGCAGGTACCCAGACAACTCACATAGGGCTAATTTCTCTAGCATACAGCTAGCTGTGCCTGTAATGTGATGTAAGAGTGCGCCACCTGCCGGCCCGGATAACGAAGAAAAAGCTTCCAGTCAGGTGATCAATGTAAACGAGGAACGTCATCGCTTGTTGCCATGTCCGCTTTTTTATAAGCGACTTTGTTCTTGTTTTTTAATAAGTCACTTAAAAATATAGGACATTTGATGCGGTTTTTTGCATTATTTTTTATTATTATTATTCTTTCCCGAAAAGGGTATTACTTGGGTACAGCACGAAAGTATGACCGACCACTGTCGTCACCTGCGGTTCTAGGAGATTTCTACATAATATCATGATTAATCCCCTGAATTTGTTTTAGCTTTCTCCGGCCCCTCACTCACTTACCCCCATTATATGTCTACAGGTTTGTTGGCACGGGCGAGAGAAAAACATTAATTTCATTAGATGGTTGTAGGCTGAATGCGAAACATTTGTTATTTTTGGTAAAGTATTAAAGGAAATCTGGCAGTCATCGTCTGTGCAAAAACTGAGACTGTTTAGGCCTATTGTTCGTGAGGAAAATTGCTTATTTTAGGCTTAGATTGTAATACTTTTTTTTTTCTTTTTTTTTTGAGATCTGGCAACATTGTTTTGTGCGTATTACCAACGCTCAAGGCCCAACCTCTGTCAAGGAGGGGGACGTTTCGGATTGTCTTGGTAATGGCGGACACATGTGGCCAAGTCCTCCTTGGGTCTGGACTGACAGTCCTTTCCCACCCTCTTATGTACATCAAGGTTTTAGTTCAGGTAAGATTTACATATTACACGCAAAAATGACAGCAGCAGCAAGTTCTCGACTGCACATGCGCTGCTGTCGAGCAGTTTCGATAGCATGTTGATAAATGTTAGCCAGTTGGTTTGTTAACAGTTAGCTACCTGTTTATATGGTAATATTTCCTTCTCAGACACGAGCATTTTTGTGTGCAGTACTGTGTGCACAGGGATAAAGGTGTTAATGCTCATTATTAACTGTTTTATCAGCGTTACTGACCGCTGTCTATCTAATGTGTGAGTTAATGCTCTGAAAGGTCAACCTTAAGGTCTGTCAGGAATAATTTTTATAGCAATTTTAGCACATATACCAACAACTCATACTTTTGTAATGTATAACTTATGCCCCCTGGAAACAACGCGAACTGCATATTCACATCAGTGTCTGGTGTCATTCAGGGTTGTGGTAAAGCAAGCACGTCTGTCTTTCTGGGCATTGATTAAGGTTGCTGCAGGTTATTGTAATACCAGTAAGGCGGTGTGCTTTACATTTACACTGTATTGCAGTCTGATAACAAATGTATCTATGGTGTAGTAGGCAAACACAGATGTCACCCCATTTGTTTTGTGTAAAAGTGGAAGAAAATTGATTCTGCTAAATAACATAATAAGCCTTTTCTTATTTTTAAAATCTAAATGAGGTTTATATACCCAATTTCACATTGTTTACTTCTGATATATTGTGACATGTTTTCACAGTATTTTAATATTATAAAAGACTGTCTTTCTTCCAAGTCAGATATTGTAACAATACTACTGCCTCGTGTCTACATGTTTACTTTCAGGGACATTGAAATATACTGTGTATCAATTTCACACCTGTCTTTAATGGCACACTAACTTATTTGTATCTTTGCAAATATAGGTTGGACATGAACCTCTTCCTCCTACTCTAGGCAGGAATATGTTTGGTCGACAAGTGTACCAGCTTCCAGGGCTCTTTGCATATGGTAAGATTAAGCGAATGGTTGCTTCTACAGTGTGTATACATTGCCATTCATCTATAAGGTCTCCAATATAATTAAAAAAAAATCTGAAAAATGCATGCATTTCTTATGCTTTCATTTATGTCTTTCAGCCAAACACATCATCAAAATCGATGGGAAATCAGGCCTGTTTAAGGGTCTCGCTCCAAGGCTTTGTGCTGGGACCATTGGCACCATTGTCCACAGTAAAGTCTTGCAGGTATGAAATGCACACCAGGTTCTTCAGAGGTTTATTTCTTGTAGACCTCTTTGATAAGAAAGTGTCTGCTAAGAACAGAAATGGAAAGGAATTTTATCATACAGAATATGCTAAAAATGTATTGATTGTAGGAAAGATACCAGAGAACTTTTAGGATTGTTGCATGTAAATTAAGGCTGGAATACACTACTTTTCCCCAGATTTCCCCCCTCATTTGCCGTCTGAATGTGTAGCGGGTAGTTGATGAAAGTCATAGCCATTCACCAGATTTTGGGAAGTAGGAATTGATTGATTTAGCAGAAAATTATGTAGTGTATGATGAACACAAACTGTATATTATTATCATTATTATTATTATTATTATTATTTAATTGTTTTTGAAGCTTCTGACTATGATTCCATTCATTTGGAGGTCTTCAAACATGTTTGATATTTTTAGCTGATTTTAGAACTCATTGTTTTCATATCCTATAGCAACGAGGCACATGTTTGAGTTTGTTGTGTTTTTCGAATGGCTTGAAAGTCTGGAAGTTCAAGGATTACACATCCTGTCGTTTAGTGTATGATGCCCAGTTTTCTCTGTAACATTAAGTCAGCAAGTGTATGATGCCTTTTGTAAAAGTAATGTTGCGTATTCCAGCCTTTAGTTAGGTTTCTGTAACTTTGATCTGTGCAGTGTTACTGGCTGTGCTGTTCAGACTGTTGCAATGTGACTTTTGTAATTTTCTGGCTGGGCACAGTTGAGCAGAGGTTATTTATACTTTTTATCTGGCTCTAACCTTTTGTTATAACCCACAGAAGTGCCAGGAGGAAAAAATTGAGGTAGGAACACAAACACATGCATGTTTGCAGAAGTATTATTTTAGTGCTTCAGTCCAGCACATGCTCTCTCTTTCTTTCTTTCTTTCTTTCTTTCTTTCTTTCTTTCTTTCTTTCTTTCTTTCTTTCTTTCTTTCTTTCTTTCTTTCTTTCTTTCTTTCTTTCTTTCTTTCTTTCTTTCTTTCTTTCTTTCTTTCTTTCTTTTAAACTTTGGCAGTGATATAATAGCATGCATCTCATTTCTTCGCCCTCTCAGATGGTGAAAAGCAGCCAGAAAGCAGAGGATGGTTCTCTGCAACATGTAGTAAATGAGGTGAGACGCATAAAGCAGAATTTCAGACTGGGTCTTATGCTGCCTTGTATGTAAGCGGAGGCCTGTTCACATGGTCACAAGTCTGATGTGACTGAATGACACGTGTAGAAAATATTTCAAAACAAGCTGTCATGTTTGCACATTGTTGTCTGAAATCTGAAATGTTTTGTGTGTATTTTTGATGTTTTTTTCTACTTTCCTTTCATTTAATTTATTCTCTCAGACCACTAAAGAGATGATTGCACGCTCATGTGCTACAATTGTCACGCACCCTTTACATGGTAAATACAGTTAATACAATAAGTAACATGTTTTGTGATTTGAATCTCACTTTTCTCTCAATCTGTGAATGTCACTGTTGTCTTTTTTCTATGCAGTGATCACTCTCAGATGCATGGTCCAATTTATTGGTAGAGAAGCCAAATACAGGTCAGTCATTTTCTTTCTACTGGGATTTCACGATTTCTTCTCTGCATCACAAATTTCATCTTTTTTTTTTTGTTTGTTTCTTCCAGTGGCGTCTTTGACTCCATAGTTACCATCTACAGGGAAGAGGGAATGCTGGGTTTTTTTGCGTAAGTGCAATCAGTTTCAAAATCAGTCAAACCTCACAAATGTACTAGTCATTTTAAGTGCTAAATAAATAAAATATTGAATGGGTTTGACATGAAACATTTTCCTGAGTGTTGTCAGGCAATTTTACAACTGATCCAAACTATCTTTAACTTCACTGTTTATGTGTTTGTCAACCCACAGTGGCCTCATTCCTCGTTTACTGGGTGATGCTCTTTCCCTGTGGATCTGCAACATGCTTGCTCACTTCATAAACACATACACTATAGATGACTCGGTATGTAAACACACACACAAACTCATGTATGAACAATAAAGCATCTGGAACCTAGATTTGTACAAATATTCAGTTTTATAAGTATGTGAGATACTTTTCATTTTTCTGTATTTGTTTCATCATTGCATAGTGTTCTGCTAGAACAACAGTTGTACATATGTAGCGATCATAGTTGCATTGTGTATGTAAGTCGATTATCCTGTTGTGCCTATCTCAGACGAGTCATACAGGAGAGATCAAGAACTGCTCTCAAGCTGTGACCGGGGTAAGTCATCTGACACGAGCTATTCACATGATCACTGGGAAGCGCAAAGTATCGTTTGATTCTGTTTTGATACCACCCTCTACAAAGCATGTGAATCATTCGCATATTCTACCAAATTTTGAGCTAAGAGACTAAATAATGTCTGTCAATCAATAGCTCACCAGTAATTTTACTCACAGCACTGATATATTTTGTGTACTGTCCAGTAAGCGCTTAGAGCACCTACTCATTAGAAGACTTGGACTGATGGAAAATAATGCCAAGCTCATTTATCAAGGCGTGGAATAAATGGAAGTGTTTTTCCTAAATTAAAATATAGAAGTAGAAAACATAAGACAATTATTGGTTTTTGAAAACCAGATGACAGCTGAAAGAGTTAATTGGAGAAAGATGTTTTGCTTTATATATGTGGGTCTGTGTTTGTCTGGCGAGTAAAAAAAAAAAAAAGTACTAGCCAATGGTGATTCTATTTTTAATGTGTTGGTAGAGGGTTGTTTTGATTGTCTGAATAGGTTTTGCTATTGCTCTCATTCTAACATTTTTTTTTTTTTTTTTTGTGACATTTTCTCAGTTTTTTGCAAGTATGCTGACGTATCCATTTGTATTGGTGTCCAACCTGATGGCAGTAAATAACTGTGGGTAAGGGATTTTGTGTGACTTGTGGAAGCATTTGTGAATGGCATTAAAGGAGATTTGCATGCCTAGTGAGTCAATAGTCAGAGATCTGGTTTCTTAGCTTCATGAGAAGCTTTTAATCTTAAACTTGTTAAACGCTTTCACCTCATGATCAGGTTCTGTAACTATAGTTATCAATTACTTATCACACTACTTCTACTGGCATGTAGGCTACCTGTATTTTCTGAACTAATCCTTACCATATTTAAGATTAATGCAGGTATACAGATAATAATTTGTAAGTAATGTTTCTCCTGATCTGACCCAGGCTGGCTGGAGGTCTGCCACCTTATGCTGCCATTTATCCCAACTGGCTCCACTGCTGGGGTCACCTGAGCCGAGAGGTGAGCAGTTTTTTTTTAAATGGGGATTCGAGTTTTGTTAACTGTTCTTGAATGTCTCCGTTCTTCTGCTAATGACCATCTAATGTTAATTGGAATCTGACTAGGCTAATCGAGTTAAATGTCTAATAGAATTAAAGCACCATACTACTGTAGTAATGAGTTTAACTACGTGACTGCATAAAACAACCAAAAAGAGTTTTATTCTAGTCAGCTGGATCTGTTTCTCCTGTTGCTGAAGTTGTTTCTCTTGTCATCCAAATAAGTTCATCTGTTGACTGGATGAGTGGCAGAACATCTTTAGCAACAGAGAAGAATATTTTGTTGACCACTATGTCTAGAAGTGACCTACTACCTACCTAAAACACTTCACAGATTTATTAGAAATTGTTACCATTTGAAGAAACTGTCAGATAATCTAATTCTGATTCCCCCCTCTCTCCTTGTGTGTCTCAGGGCAACATGAGCAGAGGCAACAGTCTGTTCTTCAGGAAGTTGCCTGCCGGGAAGATGTATGCCATTGAGCAGAAGAGATTTTTTTGAATGAGAAGCTATCAGCATAGTCTATAATTATGATAATATAATTGAGATGACCCACAAAGTTGGACTCCAAATCCTTCGTATGCACTTGTTTAAGACGACAAACTTTTTTTGATAATCAGTCTGCATCAGCCTCCAGGATTATTACTGTTAATTTTATCAGTACCTTTTCACTACATTGTGATTTGCATTGATTTGAAAACATGAAGAGCTTTATTTTAATACCCAGGGATTTGTATACATAACCAAGTAAAATAAATCGCAGTATAATTTCAGCGACGCACTTGAGGGCGCTCTTGATTATCTGTGCCCCTTAGAACTGTTTTATTTTTTTGCTCGACCATAATGCTCGTCAGTAATTATAGATCTGTGTTTGTCTCTACTGGTTCATGCACTGACTGACTGACAGACAAGAAATTATCTGTCCTGTTAATAACAGACTTACTTGTGTTTATGTGAGAGGAAGTTTATGCAACACTTTGAGCCACTGTATTGTCTACCTGATGTGTTTAGCATAACTTTGCTGAGCTTGACCGTCACCTTGGTAATTTTGACACATAAGCCTCTGTGGCTTCATATCAGTGAGTGAGTTTTGGACAGTGTTTGGTGTGGATGTCGACTTCCACCCACATCTCCATCAGAGCTTCATTCCAGTCAGAAACAGTTGAAATTTTTATTTCTAACGACATTCAAATGGACCCAAATAAATGTGAGAATGCTTTTTTTGGTCTTTGTGTCTTAACTGTCCATCATCTGCACAACAGACTAGTGCTAAACATACAACAACTATCTGTAACATTGTATTTCTTTCATCTTTAATTTTATTGTCATTGTGCAGAAAACAAATACAGGGCAAATGAAATGCAGTCTAACAAGAACTGCAAATAGCATATTATTTACCTATGATGCGAGCAAGAATATGCAGGCGGGGGATGATTTATTAAATAGTTATGTATTAGCAATTATGGATTTAACAATGGGTCTTCAACAGGGGGTCTTGCCAATTGGTTGATAATGTAAAATGTTTGCGGGGTGAAAAATGCATTAAATAAAATTATTAGTATCAACCAAAGCTAAGCTGAAGTAGTTAAGCTACATTTTTAATTGTCATGTCTACATTGAGTATTATGTAAAACGTAAATGAAAGGTACATTTATATGGCTTTGTACATCAATATGCTTTTTTTGGCTACATTTACTGCACTCAGATTTTTTTTTTTTTTTTTTTTGGTCAAATTGGATCAGTTGGACATTTGATCTGAACTCTCTTAAAAAGTACGATTCTTTTTTATTTGTAAAACTTACTGAGTGCTGCTTATTCTGTCTCTCTATCCATCAGTACTGGCCTGAAAAGGGTTTTAGGGTGTACTCACACTAGCCAGTTTGAACCGTGCCCGAGTGCGTTTGACCACCAAAGCGCGGTTCGTTTGACTAGTGTGAGTGCTCCGAACCGTGCCCGGGCGCGGCTCGATTAGCCGGCCCTGGCCCGCTTGGAAGAGGTGGGCCAGAGCACGGTTCAGTTGGACTCGGGCGCGGTTCGCATGCAGTGTGAGCGCTAACCGTGCCGGAGCACGGAACAGGACGCGTGGCGGCATGGTTTTGCGACGCTCCAAAACCAACACAGTCCGTAATCAAAGCTGCAAAGTCCTTGCTGCACTTCAGCTGGTACCTTGCAAACCTCCTCATACGAGCAGCACGATTACGTGAAAATGTTCGCGCCACTAAGGCGACGCATCTGTTTAACAACAGGCTGTGGACCACCGTGGACCAAACGACACAAAATTATCCACAAAGAAAACAGAGCGATGGACTTCATTGTGTTCAGAGAGCGCCGCTCTTCTTGTTTGTTTATCCCGAAACCGTCGCACGCACCATAATGACGTAAGCGTGCTCCGGCACGAATGCTGAAACCCTATGTGAGTGCAGGCCAGAGGGGGAGTGGGGAGTGGGGACAATCGTACTCGGGCCCGGTTCATGGCAACCGTGCCTAGTGTGAGTACACCCTTAATATCTCTGATCTACGCAAGGGGGTAATCCACCAGCCGGAAACTGAAGTCTCCCCGGGCGCCGCCATTGGCTAGCAAGCCTTCACCTGCTGTTAGCATTCCATTGACTCCCATTCATTTTGGCGTCACTTTGACAGCGAATAACTTTACATCTGAGGCGTTCAAAGACTCCATTTGTCCATTGTTTATTTCTAAAGAAACACGACAATGTATAAAAGGCTCCATTACCTTGTATCTTACGTTATGGCCCCGTAGAAGCAGTTTTTGTACAAATAGGCTAACGATTGCGTCATAACACGCGACTCTCTGTCGCACAGTAGAGAAATTACCGTACAGACAGGAGTAGAAGTTTGCTGGCAATCGGTGGGACGTGGAGGCATAAAGTCGAGGGAGAAGCCCATAGAGAGTCATAAAGTTGATCCTACTGCTAACTCATGGATAGCTAATACTCACTATCTCCGTCTCTGTGAGATTCGGAAGGGAATGATTCAGATTCCTCTTGGCACAACTACTAGAAGACTTACAACTGTGAGACAGGAGGCTTGTTTGAGATGCGCCTTGCCTCGCCTGAAATGTAGTCGAGAGTAGGCGGCTGCAGAGAGAGGAGGAGTGAAAAAAGCGCAGGCAAGCCGGACAGATCGCTCTTCTCGCAGTGGATCTGACACCTGTGAGATCAAAGGCGGATATCGCGGGATTCACACTCGTGCACGGTGTTGCTAATAAACTGGATGTATTTTAAGTTTTGTTGCTTGAATATGAAAATAAATATAATGAACAAGACACTCAAAGTACTTATTTAATTCCATTTTAAATAGGCCTATATGTTTATGAATCATTTTTTTTCTTTACAGATATGTGTTTTTATTTTTAATAAAAAAAAAAGAATTACATCAAATAGATCGCACTGTCTGAGAGTTTGGGGATATCCACACATAATCTATACACATAAAACATGATATCAGAGTTTTAAAATCAAACATTTTAAAAGAGAACAATACATCACGGTTGTTTAAACCAATGAGCATTAAGCTGTGCCGTCAGCAAGTCGTTTCCCATCATGCTTTTGATCAGCGCAGTCGGTGGAGAGCAACTGCGCGCGACTGCAGAATCCGACACGTGCGCCTTGCGGTCGCGAGACTTTTTTGACTCACGTCAGCATGACATCAGAGCAAGGCGGACCGCACTCGGACACATTTCTAACCGGCATGCATCTCGCGCTGATCACCGGTGATCGGTTCTGCGCAGATTTTGCTCATCTCAAACAAGCCTAGGTTGTGCTCACGTCACATCTACGTCATCAAGCTCAGTGTGAGCCTGCGAGTGAGTGCTTCTAATTGACTTCACTTTTCTCCGTTGAAGTCTATGGGGTCGCTGTGTCCATTTCTTTTACTGTCTATGGATCTACGTACAAATTCGTTCTTCTCCTGTTTCATAAACCAGACCCTAATCAGAGGGAGCGTTCGGTACGGATGACTCCCAAGCAGTTTTCATCCGCGCCAGGTGGGGGCAGTGACGCTCACTGACGTGATCCACAAAACACAAACACGTTCCTGAGAAGAAGAAGCATTTCAAGATGTCGTCGCTGAATGACAGATCAGTTTGGGATGAGGTGGAGGTCTGTTTTATGTTTTTTTAAGGTTCAATTCTATTTTCCCAAACTAGTTAATGTTGTATATATGTAGAGAAACATGCTGTATGTTGAAAGACACGCGTTTAAATGATGTTTGAGCACGGGCATTGTGTCTGATGGAAGAGCATAGCATGACACAGTGAATTTCATTTCGCTTAATTCCTTTTTATAAGCGTGTGCGTTCATCCCTTCGGTCATTCAGCGTGATAAATAATGACAGATCGACTCTGATTATAATTCGTTCCAAAATTACAGGAAGATCACAATACATCTTTAGTAAAAGTGTGGTGATAACTTGCTAGGATAGCAGAGAGAAGCTAACGGTGATCATGGGAATCGATGTTTTCTTCTGCTCGTTAAGTTTGATCAGATATTCTCCGAGTATTCCTATTCACGAATGATTAGATATCTTACGTTTATGAGGTTAGGGTCGGGAAGACTTAAAAACAGGCAGGCAGACGTGCTAATAAATAAATAATATTGTTTTTCACACATGACCTGGTTGTATTTTACAGGATGGCATCGGCGAGGAAGTTCTTAAGATGTCCACTGAAGAGATTGTTCAGAGGACTCGTCTTTTGGACAGTGAGATTAAGGTAGCCTTCATACTGTAAATCATATTAATTGTGCAGATGATTGTTTTCAGTGTCTGCATGCAGTTCTGCATGTCATTATAATGTGTATGATTTCAGATCATGAAGAGTGAGGTTCTGCGTGTCACTCATGAGCTGCAGGCCATGAAAGACAAGATCAAGGAAAACACAGAGAAAATCAAAGTGAACAAGACTCTGCCCTACCTCGTCTCTAACGTCATAGAGGTAAAAATATGTGCCAGAATGGGGCAGTAAGGAGCTTTTTAAATGCCTTTCTGTGTGTGTACGAGATTTAAAGTTTGTATGCGTATGTTTGAATGGAAGCTGCTGGATGTAGATCCTAATGACCAGGAAGAGGATGGGGCTAACATTGATCTGGACTCGCAGAGGAAGGGCAAGTGTGCCGTCATCAAAACCTCCACACGGCAGGTGAGTCAAATAGATTTTATGAACAGCTGCTGCAGTCTTGTTTTTCTGTGGCTGACCATCATGCTTTTTTCTCCTTTACAAACATTTTCCAGTACTTTTGTGTAGGTTTTAGGTTTTAATATCTTTGTCTTAAAGGTCATATTGCAGGTTAGAGGACCCAATGATAAGGCAATGTATAGAAAAATAATGCACTACTAAATTATTGCCCTTGTTGTTTTAAAACATTTAAAAAATGTTTTACCTGCAATATGCCCTTTAAGGGTTTTAAAATGTATGACATAAATAGTACAGTGATTCAATGAAATTTCAAAACCAAAAATATTCATCTGTAATAGAAAATTGTGTCACACTTTAGTTTAGTTTTTTTTCCAATTCTCACTATTAATGAACTATTAACTACTACGTTTGCTCAAGAAACTCGTAATTACTGCTTATTAATAGTTACTTTGTAAGATAGTTGTTAAGTTTAGGTATTGGGTAGGATTAAGGGATGTAGAATATAGTCATGCAGAATAAGGCATTAATATGTGCTTTAAGTACTAATAAACGGCCAATATGCTAATAATATACGTGCTAATGAGCAACTAGGCCTAGTTCATATTGAGAATTGGACCCTAAGCGTGTGGTCTGTTCTCAGAGGTGACATTGTCCAAGTTCTGTATTTCAAATATACATTTACATTTAGTAGGGATGTCCCGATCAGGTTTTTTTGCCCTCGAGTCCGAGTCATTTGATTTTGAGTATCTACCGATACCGAGTCCCGATCCGATACTTATATAGTACATAAAAAAAGAATAAAAAAGAGAGAAAAAACAGATCCAGGATGTTCCTTATTTTTTATTTAATTCACCTTATTTTAACATTCAACAACTGTTAACAAACAGAGCACTTCTGTGAGGTAGCTTGAACAATCAAGTAATAAAAAAACTTTTGGACTTTAGTGCAACAGTAAATATAGAAAAAGTCTAATATAAAAACAAATAGCACCTCAACTTAAAATACCCGGCAGGCATGTAAACAAAAAATAAAAATGTTTTAAAAGTGTATAAAAAAATAATGAGAAT